AGTTGGAGACCCAGTTGCTGTAAGAAGGAGCTGACTAGCCGCAGTTTGGTCTCGAGCTTGCGAACGTCACCGTCCCAAAGTAAAAGGTCATCCTGATACATGAGAAGTTCAGCGTCCAAGTCTCGAATTGGCTTCCCGATCTGGCGCCAGGCTTCGCCCTCCATCATAATTTCCAAGGCTTCATGGAGCACGAGCGCAAATATCTCCGCCGATTCGGGGGCCCCTTGTCGGATACCACTCGTGCAGCGTACCGTGATGTCATCCGCACCAGGAACTTTGCCGACGAGGAGGTTAGACTGCAGTTGCTCCAGTAGGAATCTTGTTTCCCTGTCCAAGCCACAATGTGCAAGTTTACGGACCAAATAGCTTGCAACGCATCGCCTGTTGATCGCGTCGAACGCCCCTCTGATGTCAAGTTTGGCAATCACCAGTGGGATTTTCCACTCTTTGGACATGTCGCGTAGCCTGGTAAAACACCCAACTAAGTCAGCGGCTTGCCTCCCTTTGCCGCAACAGGCAATGTCGGTACCTGTTCTAAGCAGTGGGAAGGTGCGTTGCATGACAAGTCTGACTGCCAGTTTGTTGGAGCGCGGATGACATCGCAATGGGTCTGAGATCGGCGGGGCCCTGCGGTTGCTCCGTTTTCGCCAAGAGAGCCAAGAGTGATGTGCGCCAGTGATCCGGCGTGGCATTGGTAGCGATCACATGGGTGACAATGGCGAGGAAATCGTCCGCAAGCGTGTCGTGGTCGACAAGGGCACGAAGCAGCGAGACTCCAATACCGTCTGGACCGACCGAAGAGCGGGTTTTCATTTTCGTCAGCTGATCTTGTACCTCCTGAAGGGTAAAGGGAAGCCACTCATCATCGACAGGAACTTGCTGTTGCAAGGCGCGGAGTTCAGCATCCCATTCTTCAGGGGGAGGCCCACAAAGTTTCCCTTCCAGGTGGCGGCGAGCTGCTTCAGTGAGTTCGTGTTCGGTGCGATTCTCAAGCATCTTCCCCCACCATCCCGATTTGCGAGAAAGCTGTCGTTTACTTGCGCGACAGGCCATCCAGTTTCCTTGTAGTATACTAGCAACTCTATCGCTTTCCCACTCTTTTCTGGCCTGTCGCCTGGCTTGGTGCACTTTCTTCCACTCTTGTTTCCCCCCATGGTGTCTGGCCACGGCAATGAGTTCCTTAACGTGTGGAGGGTCATGGTATCTCACCCCCGGCAGTGGTCGCGTGCATGTTTTCCCCAGCTGGACGATATCATCAATGTCGACCAGAGGATCAGGGGGGAGCTCGGAGACAACAAACCTTGGTCGCGAGTCATTCATCC